GCAAGTCTCCATGTAAATGAGCACTTACAAAATAGCCTTTCTAGGTGAATAATTTCTTCTACGATTAATAAAATCTGCAATCTGGGTAACAATGTTCAGAAGACTTTTTGCCATTTGCAATTATCGCTCATCCCAGCACCGAAAACTCATTATTATTAGAGTTGACAAAAAATATTTAACTGCTTCCGTGAAAGGACTTAATTTTTTAAAGAATCAGATGTTCCTAAGCTTTATTTCTACTTCCAAGCCTTGAATGTGAAAAATAAGGGCATCCTAGCAACCTTTGTGTGCATCTCCTTCGATTTCCAACAAGTAATTTGGATAAAAGCATCTAATTTGTACAGTAACACAAAACATTAGAAAGTATACTTCCCCGGTTTAAAAGCAACCTAGTAAGAGTATGGAGTTAACATATCGCTGTACAACTGTAAGCATGTATTTTACACTATAAACATACATATTTTGCCTTTTTTATAGCCGTTTTCTCCCAAGGAACTAAAAGCATTTAACGGTTACCATAGGTCTCACAGCACTCTGGTGAATAAGAGTATATAATCTCCAGTTTAATGGCATGGGAGCTGAGGCACAGGTACTACAAAGAAGGCTGGGGCAGTGTTAAGAACAGCCTCCATGTGCAACTCCAAGCTCTGGGACTAAATCCCAGCTTACCTGACACGCATTATCCATAGAGAGAAAGCAACACAGGTAGTTTTGCACCAGCGCCTATGGAGGTGCTAGTGTTAACATCGTTTATGTCTCACTCCATCCTACTCCCTGATCTACCAGTAATATTATATCCACATTAGAAAGAATTCACCAATGCAGACGCTGTTGAAAGGACTCAAACACAAAGGATTTGATGGCCTTAAGTACAGGTGCTTAATGAACATTGATCTAAGCTCTTTAAAAACATCGAACTGCAACCTTGAATGATGTAATGGATGGTTAGAGGTCTGGAGCGTGTGACGAGCTGGACTCCTCTCCGGGGTAGGCAGCAAAAAGAGAAGGGGCAACAGGCATGAGTTGCAACATGGGAAACTCCAACTAGATGTAAGGAAAAACAGTTTTCACAGGGAGTGCTTAAGCACTGCAGTGGTCCACCCAGAGAGGCTATGGAGTCTCCATCCACGAAGATATTTAAACCTCGCCTGCGCACGGCCACAACCTGCTCTAACTCTGAAGTCGCCCCTGCTTCAAGCTTGAGGCTGGACTAGGTGACGTCCCGAGGTCTTTCCCAAGCTAAATCAGTCTAGGAATACCAAACCAAATACAAGCAAGGTTATCCCTTGGTTTCTCTGATGCATCTCGAAGCTTACCACAAATTCAAAGAAACAATATGACCCCAGACTTCTGTGACTAACTTTTTCTATTTCATTTTACTTGCTCTTTCTCCTCAGAAGAATGAAATGGAACAAACCTAAATCTTTGCTTTAACCCATGTAAAAGTAGCAAAATGAAAAGCAAAACCCAATCATTCTATTCAGGCACCTCAATGTGTGTGGTCACTTGAGGTCTCGCTTGGAGTTTACATACCCTCCTGACCCTTTCTCCTCGTAAGAAACGCTCTGAAAAGCAATCAGTCTGCTGGGCCGAGAGATCCACTGTTATTAAAATAACTGCATCACAGTAACAGCTCTCAACTTACTTCTCTCATTTCTGAGTCTTCCCCCCTGCACTTTTGCACGAGGTGCTGCATACAGCAAAAACTGATTCAGGCTACACCAGAAGAAATGGAGGTTAAGTCCCTGCCTAGTTAGGATACAAAAACTGCAATGGCACGTGATCGCTGATACATAGGGCCAGGGACAACATGCATAAGTGCCTTCTACATCCCTCACCAAAATAAGCAAGCTAAAAGGACTTTTAAGGGGAATAACTGAGCGAGGAACATCCAAAGATGGGCAAGGCAGAGAGGCATATAAAGCACACACGCAGCCCATTTCCAGAAGCAAAGTCCATCCTAGAATTCAAGCCCTTTCTGACCAACTTCTCACTCTTACCAGAAGCATTAATGAGGTAGCTCAGGTTTCTCATCTCAAAACACACACAAATCTCTACATGGCAAGCATTCGGTACACTCCGCTCCAACAAACATGCTTTCTCACAACCACGTAACAGGTGTGGCGCGTTGTTCCAGAAACACTCACAGGCCATAATCCAGCGGAATAACTTCACGATAATTTGATATTCAGCCTAAGACTACCCTCGGCATTACGCACTGGTCTGGACCGTGCGATGCTGCAATGTATCACAAGCTGATTTTGCTAGACGTTTCCCACCACAGCAAGTGAATTAAACTGTCACTCAGCACTGTACGAGTTGCTCTAGTACAGCTGCTTCTTCACGAGCTGTACAACAACATTTCTCTGAATTAATAACAAAACGCTATGCTGCAAGTTCAAATCTTCATCCTCTTCTCTGTGTGTTTTCTCTTCCTCTCTCCACTTCTCTGTTACCTATTTTCCCCTCCACTATTTTTCCCCTGACTCACTTTGTTTAACTCTCTCTGCTCCACCTGCCTGCTCAATGCTTTCTTCTCCTGCCCTCAGTAGACACCACAACAAGGAGCTTGCTCATGAGCTCCAGCCATCCTGGCCAAACCACTAATTATGGTCTGAGCATTGAAATGCTGACGACCTTGATCCTTTCTCTACATCCACTCACAAATGAACTAGTCAGCAAAATGTGCAGGAGCACAGGAGGATGTCTCCTCTCCCCAAGGACCACCCCATCAGCTTGGGAAGCTAAGGCTAAGAGAGTTTTCCCGAGTGCCCATTCTGTGGAATGTCTCCCAACATATATATCCTACTCAACCATAGGTAAAACAGACGTCTTATTCACTGTGAGAGCTACTTAAAAAAAAAAAAAAAACAAAACTTAGTAAATATTTAATTTCACTACAACTACAATACAATTACAGTTGTCGGTATCTGCAATTTACATTATATACACATGCAGGGACAAGCATAAAAAAAGAAATATAAAATAAAAGCCTTATTCAAAATTTAGGCTCCATTTCCAGCAACAATTTCATACCCGTATTATTATATATATGCTATTTATGATTTTTATACTGGCAGAACAGAGAAAAAGATTACATACACTTTCCTATCTACACTTGTGCACACACACAGTTTCCTGTTTTATCATGAACATTCTAATGATAGGAATTGAAAAACATTTTTAAATTACCAAAGCTACATTGAAAGCTGTAAGCAACTGCTGAGCAACTGCTCAGGGGAATACCCCCATGGAGACTGTTTCCAAAGCACAGTATTTTTACTTACACTTGCGAATATGGCACAAACACACTTATGGGAGAGGCTGCCAGGACGATTATGATAAAAATTTGCTGGGGATCCTGAGGTGTCCAGTAAGGAATCTTGGGAGGGAACAGAAAGCTCAGGAAGTCCATCTGAGCATGGGAATAGACTGCACAACAGTGCAGAGAAAAAGCAAATAGACCCCCCCCCAAAAAAAAAAAAAAAAAAAAGAAGAAGAAGAAGAAGTAGGACTTGCTGATCTTGGTAGACTGCAAGTCGAACATGAGCCAGTATTGCACCCTTGCAAAGAAGGCCAACCGTATCCACCCTGGGCTGATCAGCAAGAGTATAGCCAGCCAGCAGCCTGTTCAGGGAAGCAATCCTTCCCCCCCCTTCAGCACTTATGAGCTCTCCAGGACAAGATATGGACATACCAGTGTGAGTCCAGTGGAGGCCACTGGGGGCCAGAGCACAGGACATATGAGAAGAGGCTGAGGGAGGTGGGTCTGCTCAGCCTGGAGAAAAGAGAAGGCTCAGGGGAGACCTTACTGTGGTTTCCAGTTACCTAAGGGCAGTAAGCCTATTCTTCGACGTGCACAGTGACACAGGCCGCACCAATGGAAATTCAGATTAGAGAAGAGAAAAAGGCTTCTCACGAGGGTGGTCAGACACGGAACAGGGACCCAGAGAAACTGAGGAGTCTCCATCCTTGGAGATGTTCAAAATCTGACTGGACACGGCCCTGAGCAACCTAATTTAGTTGGCCCTGCTTTGAGCAGGAGGTTGGACTAGCCGATCTCCAGAGGTCCTTCCTAACCTGAATTAACCTACGATTCTGAATAACTGGTTGGGATAAGCAAGAAAACTGGTCAAAGGAAGAAAAGAATGGAACAAGAAAGCTGTAAAATGGCGTCAAAGGCTGGGATTAGCTACATGATGGAAAAAACAAAGTGGACTAGGCTAACAAGCTAGGGATGGGGTAAAAGAAGTAAAATAACAACTGGTTGAAAGAAAAGAAGGCAGCAGAGATGAAGGTTGTGAAGAAAAGGCAAAAATAAAACGAAACAAAATAAAAACAGACCAAAAAAATCAAATCTGTGTCCACTAAATTACACTTTCCCCCCACACCTGGAAGGTGAAAATCCACGATTCCTTCACTGATGACATCAAGTATTTACATCAAGTTTCCACTCTGATACTACATAAAAGAAATGAGGGGGGTTCATTTTCCTCCCTTTCTTAGAAAACAAGTAACCTTAAATCTGTTTTTTTCTGAATTTGCATGCTTGATCTTACAAACTTAACAGATATTATTATTACATATTTATTATAGAGACTATTCTCATGTTTAATACAAATATATACATACATTTGTAAGTTAAAAACTCAAAATAATGACTACACCTGAACAACCAGCTTACAGCTTTTTACAGTTTTACAAAATATAGGCCCCACGAGCCTGCAGTGAGGCTGCAGAGATACAAACTTGGCTCCGACTTGGAGCTGAAACCATCAAACACAGAGATTACTGCTGATCAGCTTTATAGCACTATTGTTGACCTTACTACCTTATTCTTCTACTGTAACTGTGAAGCGCAGTTGCATATGCTCTGATATGGATTTACCGCAGTCACTGAAAGGGAAATCATAACCCAAATTCTGTTTGCATAATTGGATAAGATGTCATGAAAGGAAAATGAAAACACAAACAGAACAGGTATTTGCACACTTACTTACCTTATGATGTCCAGAATCTGTATTAAAACCAGCCTCAGGTGTAACAGTCAGTAAACAGGACAGCAAACCCTTGCATTTAGCAGGAGGTTTCTGGGAAGCCAGATTACCTACAGGGAGTTGAAGAGAATTATTTCAGCAGGTGAAGATGAAGTCACCTATACTTAATAAAAATAGCCTTCCAATGAGCCACAGCACAAGGGAAAAATAGCTCCACAATGGGAGATGTTGTACGCCACCATGATCGGCATGAAGAATTTAATCCATGGAAGGTGACAAAAATTTGCTATGAAGCATGCAGAGACAGACGCTGGTAGATTCTTAGGGTTTAGCAAAGAACATCTAATACCCAAGATAACATGGTGTTAACCCTCTAACCAAGGATGCGGAGGAGACCAGAAAGAGCATGATATTTTGCTTAATTAGCTGCTATCAAAGAGAGGACTAGTTCAAGGGTTTGCACAAAAAGAGGGAATCCAAGATTATTCAAAAGTTTAATAGTGTTATAGAAGCCTTTGGTAGCACAGCATTTTCCCATGAAGTAAAAATAATCCCTGGAGATAAACTTAAGGAAATATATCTCATTTTAATGCCCAGAGTAAAATTACTATTCATTAAAGCAAAGCAGTTTTATACCTATGTTCTCCATCTCTGATTTAATACATATAAAAGTAATCTTTATGACAGGAAGTGGCATGTAATCCTGCAAGAATGAACTGCTGTCATTAGCTGAGAATCAATATCATTTTTTTTTGAAGTGGCTGTAACAGTACCTATTGATCTCACATTTTCCACATTGGAGTTTCAGGCTCTACAAAGAAGATTCTTACAACAACAAGAGAGCTTCAGATGAGTAAATGAGTTGATATACGTTAATTTGAAATTTATAGCGCACTTCCCTCGAACAATGCAATCAGAGCTTCTCTGCCATTGCCTCAACTTAGGCTTTTTTCATTTTATATACGTTATGTGTAATCATAATATTTTGAGCTCACAGAGTAATACTTCACTAGTCCTACCTACAAGGTATAGAAACGTTCAAAAACGAAACATCTTCATAGAAGATATCTCTGTGCCCCCCAAGCATAGCGTTGCAGATTATTTGTAGGGTATTTGCTACATTTAAGGAGCCAGACCAAATGCAGAAACTCCTTCCGCTGTGAAAGCACAAAAACTGACTCTGCGCGGAAGAGCTCACAGTCCCGATGGGCACGGTTCCATGGGTACTGAAGGTTAGGATAGCAACAGAAAGGAACAGAAATAGCAGCCCCCAGAAGGACTAAATAATGCATCCAAGGTCACTCAGTAGGTCCACTGAGCCATGCTATATTCCTTTAAGAGATTTTAATAAAACTGATAAATTCTTACTATTATTTTGTAAATGAAGCATATAGCAACTTTGGCTTGATGAGCTGATCAAACGGTTCATGCTGCAATGAATGACCTGTAAGAAGAGCTGACTGCAAGGCAAGAGGTACCATTACGCATAGAGAAAAAAAAGATACCAGTAAAAATGCAGTTTGAAGGGATGGGATTAGGGACAGGAGACATCCCAAAAGGAATATCATTAAGAAAACAGACAAACATTTAAAATTGCTAGTCCTCATTTCATGCAGAAAATCAGATCCACCTCCAAGCACCAGCCAGCTGCAGGTTAGTTTCTTGAAAATTTAAGGAAAGATAATACAAGTAACGAGCAAACGAAATTCCTGGGGAATGGTGCATGTATGTAAATAAACTTCTCCTCTATGCCCCATCACTCCTGTCTTCTCTGTCATTTAGAGCTGCGTTCTCCGCCTTAGCTTGCTTTGCTTACAGGATGAGGCTCATTTTGGAGTTAAACATTTTCAAATAGATGGGCTATTTATCCATCTAATGCTTCTCGAATGCCTTATTGAGACATTTCAACTGAGCATTTCTGACTTTTGCGACATGCCTAAAGAATTTAGCGTGGAGTGTATGAAAAGGCTCAAACAAAAATAGAATGCTTTTTTTGTTCTTTTCAGAAAGCGCTCTGTTATCATGGAGAAGTTTATGGAAAAAAAAAAAAAAACCTCAAGGGAGCCATTTCTCCTTTGCATACTGAATCATCACATCATAGTTACCCCATCATCTCCAAGGGCAACACTAGGCCAAAGTTGTACTGGAAGACCTCCCTAGGGACACATCCATTTTTCAAAATCATCTCAGGACTCTTGTTCTAGGGCAAGCAGAGACCTTGCAGACTAGAAAAAGAGTCGTTGACAGCAATAACAATAATAAAAAAAAACAGTGACACTTTTACATGAAGGAAATCTTTTTCTTCCCTACCTCAAACAAGAAAAACATGAAGCATATTTACAAAGTATTATTTCAGGCTCTAGATGGCAGCGCCATAGGGAAAGGCAAAATAGACATCACAGCTGGATACAGGACATTTGAAAAAAGGGGGATAAGAAGGGGAAAAGGAGTGAGAAAAGCAATAATCCTTCACCATGAAAATGGCACACAAAGAAAAGCTTAAGTTCAAGGTCAGTTTGCTTCCTCCTTCCACCGTATGGCGTCCCAACGAAGAGTCAAAATTATTATGTGGGGCAACACAAAGACAGGATTAATGGCCTTTACTGTTTAAGTTGCTGCTAATTACTTTATTTTCAAGGGAGGAGGGGTTCTTTTGCTTAAAAAAGCCCCCAAAATAAACAACCCCCTCCCTAAGATTTAACTACAGTTTGTGTTATGGGGGAAGGAGAAATGCAACACCTGCCAGACAGTTCTGAACCACCAGAATAAAATACTTATCCTGAAAAAAGCCAAAAGAACAGCAAGGAGCTTTAAGCCAACGCATATAACACCCAAAGCAAAAGTCGCTGTCTCTCAGGGATTACTATCTTTAAAGGTACGTTCCTCTTGCTAGAGATGGATAGGGCACCAACTAGACTGGCAACTCAGATCTGTTCAGGAGATGATCTTTGGGCACTGCACCTCAGTGTCGTCCCAGTGACTGTTGTGCCAAGGGATATCACAGCCTGCAGGGAAATATCCTGTACGGAAACATCAGCAAGTTTGCGGACGATACTAAACTGGGGGGAGTGGCTGACACACCAGAGGGCTGTGCTGCCGTTCAGAGGGACCTGGACGGGCTGGAGAGCTGGGCGGAGAGGAACCTCATGAAGTTCAACGAAGGCAAGTGCAAGGTCCTGCACCTGGGGAGGAATAACCCCATGCAGCAGGACAGGCTGGGGGCTGAAATACTTCTGCCTCTGGAAGTGTCCCATGGCAATCCCAAAATGTAGTGTTTCATGCCAGTGCTCCCAGTGACTGTGTTCCTTTCCTTTAAAAATGTCAAATCAGAAGAAATTCGCTTATCGCTTCCTACTGACAAGCTTTAGGCAGCTCCTCCACGAGGATATGGAAGCACTGTGTTGCCTAAAAAAACCCTCAGCTCCTCACATTGGTCCTGCTTTATGAAGCTGGAGATAACTTAGGCCAACAGCAGCAGCCAGCTCTCTCCTCTAAGAGCCTCGCTACAGATGGGTCATATATCCTATATAGCATCTAAGCTTCTAACTTAAATGACCGAAAGCAAACTGTTAAAAACCAAACATCTGCTTCAGATAGTGCATCATGTCAGTGAGTTTCATGAAGGAAGTGGTTTGTTCCTTGAGGTGAAACTGCAAGGAGGCCATGTGCAGACAAAACACAGTTGGTGTTGGCTCCCCCACCTCATAAAGATGGGCATCTTCACGAACAGATGGAATAATCAGCAGGTGCCTTTGGCTAAAAAGACCTGGGTAGTGAGAATCGGGTCAGGATCTTTTGCAGAAAGGGAATACATCAGTTAGGTTCCCTTGAACGTCAGCATTTCTGTCTGGGTTGGCAAAAATAGAGCGATCCTGTACCAGCAAACTGAGCTATGGTGGCAGCTCAAACAGATAGCTCACCATGCTTCAGTGCCAAGAGGTAAATTAGAAGAGAGGTCTCTAAGAGGCAGGGAAGGACAAGGGAAGGAATCATTTCACATGACGTCAAGTCAAAAACACCACTCTCCACTTATGCAGCAAGACTGTCTTTCAGAGCTTGTCTGTTATAGACGAAGCATCCAGTAGCAATAAGTAGACCAGCTCCTCTACCAAGAGCTACACAGGATGTGAAGAGATACAGATTTAAACAGATCATCCTCCTGAAGCACGTTGAGGAGCAGCAACTCGGTGCTGAAATGCTAAGAAGCCTAGAAAACCAGCGCTTCCCCAGTTGTGCTGGGGCAGGCAGGATCAGCCGTCAGCAGATCTTGCCTTGCTTTGCACAGCATTCAAAAAGCTAGAAAAATAAGAAAGAAAGCATGATAGTATTAAGAACTGACTTGTCTACTGTGATATGGACCAACCCTGCCAGCAGCAAGTTAAAGAAACTCTAAAGGGTAGGGAAAGCTAGAGCAGAAGGCACTCATCTCTTGAGCAAAGCCAAAGGATTTGAGCAATGATTGGAAAATCAAGGAGTCAAGAATATGTGTCTTGCAGCACTAATGGTGATTCTTGGGGAAGGAAGAAAAGGCGGAAAGAAAATACATGAAAGCTGTTATGTTGGACACTGGATAGGGAATGGCTGCTGTTTGTTCTTCTGTGTTGTGCAAACTCCTGGAAAACGAGAAGCAGCCCATCTTTCGTGGCCTGTTTCACAGCTTTATGGTTCTGCCCTCCTGCAGCGGAGTCCGAGCGAGTCTGCAGGAGAGTCAGCAACAATGCAATGCACCACACAGCACCTGCCCAGCATGTCTCGCTTGTGTTTTTAAAAGTATTCGGAAAGGAAAACCGATAAAGCCAAGGACATGGAGACGGTTGTTTTAGATTAATTAATTGGAAAAAAGTTTAATGCAAAAATATTCTGCAAAAGCCTCCCCATGCAGACAAGCTATAAATCAACTGTGAAACAGAGAGTGCTTTAAAATGCCCTTTATAAGCTGCTATGCACTGCAAAAGAAAACCCCCCCCCCCCCCCCCCCCCCACACACACACACATCATATAGCATAGTTTGGGGCAGGGGGCAAAGAAAGAGGAAGAAAGAATGGGCCAAGACACAGCTGGAGCACACTCTCTTTGCAAATAAACAAGGCAAAGGAAAGCAAATCAGGAA